TAAAGTGGCCTCAAGCTGGATTATTTCTGGCAGTCTGTAAAGGCCCACAGTCCAACACTCAAACCATTATGCCACACTGGCTCCATATGTATGTATGTATATGTATATAGTTGCCAACTAATGGGGAGAAAACCAGCTTGGCCTGCTCTTGTGCTTTTAATAGCAGCGTGAATAGCAGAAAACAAAGGGTGACATTTTTCACAGCTGGAAGATCAATTTTATCTGCTGATGTCTGCCTTTAAGGGAAAACAACAAAGTTTGTTGCCAGCGTGGTGTAGTGGGTTGAGCATTGGAATTTGACCGGAGTTCAAATCCCCACTCAGCCATGAAAATCCACTGGGTGACCTTGCACAAGTCACATTCTCTCAGCCTCAGAGGAGGACAATGGCAAAACCTCTTTTGAACAAATCTTGCCAAAAAAAAAAAAAAAGACAGGTTTACCATAGGGTTGACAGAAGTCAGAAACAACTTGAAGGCACACAACAACAACAAAGGTTGGTTGGGAAATTGGCAACTGCAATTCACAAATCCAAATTACAATATTTAGAAATTGCTCTTAAAAGGTGATGTGAATTTCCATAAAGTTCAAAATGTTTGATGCTTATGTCTTGCACCCCATGGTTAGTCTCAATTAAAGTAGACCTATTGAATCAATGGGATTTATAGACAAGTTGATTTCCCCAGTAACTTGGTAAATCAACTGTTAGGTAATTCCCACTGATTCAGTGAGTCTACTCTATTTGTAGTTTGTAACATCTGGATTTAGGTCTATGATATGATCATATTCATACCATATCATATCTATTCAATCAATTAAATTAAAATATGAATTGTTAGTACTCTGACATTTAACATCCATCTTCTTGGGCCAAAAAATTACTTATTTAACATTTGTATTCTGTTTATATCTGACATGGATATTTGCAAAAATGAGTGTACTGTTCCTTCTCTACTCCAGGTTTTGAGTCAAGTATGAATGGCCTAGATTCTTTTTAATAAGTTCTTCTAGTTTTATTATGTGTTTCTTGAATGCAACCTTGTGAGAGCTTACCAATTTTTTAAACGAATGTATATATTGTATATTACAGCATCAACATCCTAAGTGTGTTCATTCAGAAATAAAAGGGACATTTTCAATAGGGTTAACTCTCATAAGGGTGTCTCAGAAACTAAAATTGATTGGTGTATGTCCACTGAGAGAACCAATGGTGTGGTGGTTTGAACATTAGACTATGATTCTAGAGAACAGGGTTCGAATCCCTACTTGGCCATGAAACCCACTGGGTGACCCTGGAACTCTCTCAGCCTCAGAAGAAGACAATGGCAAACACCCTCTGAAAGAAATTTGCCAAGAAAACCCTGTAATAGAGTTACCTTAGGGTTGCCATAAATAAGAAACGACTTGAAGGACACAACAACAACAACAACAACAACAACAACATCACCTCTGAATTAATAGGGTTTACACAAGTGCTGGCTTACCAAGTTACCACTGAGTTAATATTACCATTGTAGTTGGCATTAATAATGGGATATAGGTCTATATTATGGTTTTATTCGTATCATATCGTATCTAATGAAATGAAAAGATAAATGGACTTACTTCTAAGCAAATGTGTATAATCGTCCATTGCTATTTAACATTTCTGAACTCCTGCTCTTCATTTTGGTTCCATATTAATTTTATCCTCCATATGAAATATATTGTGATATCAAATACTTCCAAATATTTTATTGATTATTTAAATATAATCAAAACTAGAAAATTAAATTTGCATATTTCTAAAAAAACAAAAACAAGCCCTTAGTATAGCTTCTGTTTTGAGGATACTGAAACAAAAGTTTAACAAGTTTAATAAACTAGTTTAACAGCCACCTTAAGCAATACTTTCTGTATGAAGTAAGCACCCTAGAATATTCCCTGCTACAGTAACTAAACCTTAGCAAAAATGTATTAGTAACAAAATTCAGCTTCATCTGTTCTTATTTCTATTTTTCCTTTTTCGTTTGTTTATTTGTTAGGGCAAATACCCTGCTAAATATAACACTGAGAGCATCTAACAATAAATATATGAAAACAAATTTAAAAATAAAACAAAAGAAAAGTGAATATCATATTTTTGGGGAAAGTTGTATATAACATAATATTATTAATAATATATAGATTAATAATACTAATAATATTTTCAATGGGAACAAACATTTCAATTGATACCGGTAATGATTTCAGTTAAGCATTATGAATATGAATATCAATTATGTGGTAAGCATCATTAACTTTAATTATCTCTAGCTGCAAGGAAAAATCAAAGTGACTGCATTTTAAAATGACAACTATAGGAGGTGGGTGTAAAAACAAAAGTTTGTTAATGTGGCAAGAGTTATTTTTAAAAACAAAGTCTATAAGAAAACTTTATGCATTTTTGTACATTTTCCCTAATGTGCTTATTTTTATATGCACTTTCCTTAGCATGTGCAATTTTTAGAAAGGTTTTTCTGTATCATAATGTATCTCTGCCTGTGATTTCTACTGATATATGTATCTTTGTGTGTGATTTCCTTTGATACATGGATTGTTTTTAAATATGGGAGTTGGGTTTTTAAAAAATCTAAAAAATAAAGATGGCAGTGCACATATGCATTTTTATATCCTTATAGGTTTAAAATGTCTGAACTGAGTAGACTTATGTTTTTAAAAAGCTGGATAAGACATTTCCCCACTGCATCACTGCAGGGTTCCTGCAAGGTTTATGAGAATAATTTTTTACATTTCAGCATTTTTTTGTAATGGAGGAAGAGAGTTATTATGTCTGTGTGGACAGCTGCAATATACCTTTAAACCAAAGTTTGGAATAGTTTGGGAGTAGCCTTCTCAGCATTACCCAGGCAGCTTTGAAAAGTTACTTTTTTTTTTACTAGAGCTCCCAGAATCCATGCTGGCTGTGGAATTCTGGGAGCTGTACAAAAAAGTAATTTTTTCAACCTCTGATTTAAAAAAATGCAATAGTCCTCCCTGAATTAAGTGATAACCTTGTTATCTGTTTCTTATCTCCATTCCAGGCTATGGACTATCACATGGGGGCAAACTGCAGAAATCCCATGCAGAAATGGGATTTAAAAGCCGGGGAAAAACGGCAAAAGTGGGTTGTTTTTCAGACACAACAGAGTTCATGTGCCATTAACCCAAATGGAAACTAGACAAAACCCGCTCCTTTTTACTTTCAGGATTTTCCAAAAATAAAAAGGAGTGGATTTTGACTAGTTTCCATTCAGGTTAATGTCGCATTAATGCTAACTAATGCTAATGTCATGTGAAAATCAACCTGCTTTTGCAGGTTTTGTCTACTTTCTTTTCAGGTTATCCCCCAACATTAAATCTATCTGCTTTTGTGGGTTTTTTCAACTTTAAATTCAGTTTCTGCACAGGATCCGTCCCGTGTGATCGGGCTATGAGCTGATCTGTGTTATGTTCAGTCATATCTCTTGGGTTGAACTCAGCATGTTGTCTGTAGTGTATTTCATGTCTCCTATTGCATGTAAACTCTGGATGGTGTGTGCAGCCATTTTTGTGACACTGGTGACAGGTCTCTGGCAGTTCTTGTTGCTGTACAAACTCTCCCTGCCACGGGTTTTTGTGCTAAAGAAGCTGCAATATGAAGAAGAGAGAATAGCTCAGGCTTTTAAAACAGTTTCTTTCACCTAAACACTTCACTCAAATATGGATTTATGGTTGTACAAAGTTTACAGCATAAACTGCTCCTAAGTCAGGGTAAAATCTTGCTTTTGGAACAGACCACCTTGCACACTGTTTTTAAATAGAAATGTATTTTGCTTGGATCCCCTTGTAACCAAGGCTGAAAGGCAGTCCTGAAAAGCAGAATATAGACAATGCTGTCTACCGTGATCATTTCAATACCTGGCAACCCTCTTGTATCAGCTGTCTCAGAAAAGAAATAAAAGCAGAACATCCCCAAGCCCCTGGTGCAGGGCATGCCCCAAATACTGTGATGCCTGAGCCAGGACAGCAAATGGTGCCTTCTGATCTAAGCCAACATGTCTGTTAGCCAAGGCCAGCCAAGTTATTTTGCTTCATGGGGCAAGCATTCCATAAACATCCCCCTCCTGGGAAGTAAATATAAAATAACAAATTTGCTGTCTTTTTAGGACACTCAAAATACATTTCCTCCAGTATTCAGCACAGTTGGTGTAATGGTCAGGCCAGTCTTGCCTCACCTCTGCAGATCTCAGGTTATACTGGTCTGGGAAAAAGATGTTATCATTTCTGAACTAAAATAATTACTGGAAAGATGGCTTTCCCCATCTGTACTTGCAGTAAAATCTACCTGTCTTAATACATTTATATCTCACAGGCCAACAACCACTGGGGTACCCAGAGTGGCAAACAGAAAGATGGATGTCGTATTAATACGTCTCCCTGACCCCTGACTATCTAGAAGGCAAACCTTCCTGAGGCTCACGCCTGCCATCCTTCCAGGTCTCACTTAAACAAAACAGGTGGCTCTTTTAACTTCACCCATATTGTGGACAAGAGCTATTTTATTTTACATGAACCTGTCTTTAAACAGCACATCCCAAGACCTGAGAGAAGAGCTGTGGAGATAATTGTGCAAATGGACACACCAAGAGGGCTTTGCAGACTGCCAGAAATAGTGCAAATTGAGTCCACTTTAAGGGTTAGGGTTAGTGCTAGGGAATCATGGGTATTGTTTTTTTCTGAGACATTGAGCCTTCTCTGTCAGAGAGCTCTGGTGCCACAATAAAATACAGTTCCCATGATTCCCTAACCCTAACCCTTAAAGTGGACTCAATTTGCACTATTTCTGGCAGTCTGCAAAGCGAGGATGCTTTCAAAGATGCTTTTAAATCTAAATTGTAAGGGCAGAAGAGGCCTTTAAATGTCTGAATTCCAATCCACCTCAGCTGCCTGGTCTCCATCACATCTCCCTCTGACAACAAACACTGCTGTGCTGGCCACCGATTCCACAAAAGTAAGCTAATGAACGTACAAGCCACAATATTCAAGCTTCTCATCTCTTCTCCTTCACGTTCTTCCTTAAAGGTGGGGGGAAAAAACACAACCCAGGCCCTCTCAAATCCTAAACACAAATACACACAAAGAACTCCTTCTTCTGTGTGTATTTCTTGGCTCTCACTTTTCCTTGAACGTTGACGTAACTGTGGCGTGTCCAATTGGTGTTTGTTTTGTGGTATATGCATGGTTCTACTTGTGTGGACGTCCGCCCCCGTCTCTGTCTTTCTCCCTCTTGCACCACTTGCCCACCTGTCCGGATGTGTTTGGGCATCTGTCTTGTCAGAGGGTTTGCCCCCTCTCCTTGACACACTGTTCATCACTGTCGGAGCCCACTCCTTCAGGCCGGTGCCATTTGGGAATGCAGCAACCTCAGATCAAAGCTCCAGAGTTCTGGAAAGCTCTTTTGCCACCCGTGGCTTAGGGTTCCAGGACTGGATAAGAAACCTGACTATCCAAACCTGCCTAGTTCATTAATGCTGCAGCAGATCATTGGATGCTCTATTACCCCTTCCCCATTCGTGGATCCAATCTAACTCAACAGGGGTGACCGTCTGCCATTTACCCAAGGGCTTGTAAAACTCGCCAAACTTCCTCATAAACTCCTAGCAAAGAGGGTTTCATTTTTAAGAAACTCCAGCCCGGCTCATATCGGATTCCAGAAACCTCAGTGGAGAGAGTGGTGGACGCGGTCTCCAGAAGCGGCTGTCAGGAGGGGCGGAAAAAAGGTTGGTTGGTTTGCTATCATTGCTGTATTGTGTCATTGTGTTATTCTATCACATCGTTTCTCTGCATTCTTTTCCCTGATGCATGATAAATTCTAGCGCAGCCTGCGTAAGCAGCCAAAACTGAAAAATATGATCAGAGAAATATTTGAAGCGGAAAAATCTGCAGCATTCGTATGGAGACATTATCTGCATTATTTCGGCCTTACTACAATGTTTTGTCGTATAATGGGAGATAGATAATACCCTGGATAGGAAACGGAACAGAATGCAAACACAGTTATTCAAGAGCAAGATGTGTGACACCAAAAGTCTGCAATGTTTATACTGCAGCATTATCCAAATGAAGCTGTAATACCTCAGCTGAGGCAGGAAAGGAAAATTTGATAGAGATTAGCAATCGAGACAGCTAATGTCCATATTTACAGGAGACATTTGGTAATAAATTGTGTAAGAGATACAGGGAAACGTGAGTGGTTTTGTAGCAAATGGCTCA